GCCGGCGTGCCAAGGGCGACTAGATGGCGAATTTTGCCGGTCGCCGGAGCTTACGGAGAACTCTGTCTTTACCCCAAGGGTATTCTCTTCCCCAAGGGCTGCCAACCAATTTTAGAATGATCCTTCAGAAAGAGTTAGAACTCTACTGCAAAAACCAAGCTCTGCAGCCACAGCCACACAATGTAGACAAAAGTTGCAGCAAAATCAGTAAGCTCTTTACTAAGGTATACGTAAAGTATAAACTTTACAATTTACTATTGAAACAATAAGCTTGATTTGTGAACATTATTTTGTTTCCATTTCATTTTACCTCCATGTTTTCCTTGGACAGAATAAAGGCAAAAACAAAATTTGTCACTCTTGTTGCTAAGTGGGTATACCTTCTGATATTTACCACTGTGCCAGTGCAAACAGTTAATGTAATTAAGGACAAACAAGTTGCTGATTAATCCAGTTATGTCTACTTTCAGGTTGGTACAGTTGACCCTGTTGGAGATTTCCGCACTATGATCAGTCAAAGGGATGAAGATAGGTTTGATGAAGGTATGTTGTCTCCTCAGTCCCACAGAATTGGCGAACCATTCTTGAAGTGAGTCATTTAACTTTGCCAAAATATCAACTTTCAGTGTGCAGAGATTTGAGATATCTTAAACTAATAAAAGATTAGCCAAGTAATCTTGGTTCCAGATGGCAGTGAGTAAATATGAATTTTGTTATTGCAGAGATCAAATTCTGCAGAAAAAAGTAAAATGTTGAAAGCAGTTACCCATGCAAATGCCGAGTGTTAAATATTTATCATGAAGATTCTCCAAGAGGATTATAAATATTATTTTAGAATTAAATTGTGTTCATATTAATTTTTAATACTATTCTTGTTAACTTTGCTTTTCCTTTGTTATTAAATGTTGCAGCTGCCAAACAGATGAGGGAGCGTATCCTGCAATTAGTTCTGGATTCATTCAGAGACCAGTTTTATGCTAAAGCCTTAGACTGTGTTAAAGTTCTCCGACAAGAGGCCATAAAGGTATACATGTTGCATTATTAACTGCCACTCAGGGTCAGATCAACTAATGTAATGGGTTATTTGAGGTTTCATGTTAAAAAAATGGCAGGATTAATGCATTTAACATTTTGCACATCCTTCAGTACGAACCTCGTCATTTAAGGGCCTGTTTACAAGGAGGGAGGGTCACCCTAGCAGGCAGGTTAACCCTAGCTGGAGGGCAAAAGATAGCCCGAGTTTACAAGCAAAATTTTACAACCCGGGACAACTTAATGCGCGGTTACACTCAAAGGGTCTGGAAACAATTAGAAAGTTAACTGTGGGAGGCGGGTTAACCCTACTTGAAGTGTTATAATGAAGCCCAAAAAGCTTCAAGGAGCAAACAAAGATGCCAAGATGTTGGAAGGTCTGGGAGTGTGCTCAATATTTTGTTTCAACCAAGCCCAAAAGGCGAACAAAAACATATAACAAAGAACTTTGCCACTCTACACGGCAATTCCCCTTATTAACTATCGAAAAATATCAAGCTCAAGTATCCATTTCCAGGAGAAACTGAAATAGAACTTCTGGGGAAGATGTGCAATGCTTGTCTGCCCCTACAAAATGGGCAGTGCTGTTGCAGCGCTGCAGAACAGCTTCAAGAAGCGTTACAAAACCACTGTGAAGTGGCTGGATGTGGCAGTCACAAATTTTGGCTGCTAAACGCTGCCAAGAGCAGCCATCTAACCGCTTTAAACAGTGATTTGACAGTGGCAGAGACATTTTCAGAAATCACAATCAGCGCTGTGGAAAGGCTGTAAATGGGCTTTGAATATACCAAGAATGTGTTTACGAGATATCAGTTTACAGTATATCAGAAGCGATAAGAAGCGCTTTTAGCAGCAGTGAGGAAAACTCACAAAATTGTGATTGTCATTGCGTTATGGCTGCAAATTGGCTTCAAAAATGTAAAGAATGTAGATATAGAGTACGATATCGTAAGAAATTGACGACTGTTTAATTGTATGTTGCAGATGGTTAAAAAGATGATTAATTACGTAGATGCCTACTAATGCAGTCGGGAAGTGTTTTCCAAAAAACTAGATACCAGGCAGTCTGAAATTATTATAGCCTGAATTTCCACGGAAAAACTAATTCAATAGACCAATTTCGATATATTAAAATTCAGCCTAAAACAATAGACCTCAGTACAAGGCTCTGGGAATAACTAGAGAGTTTGGAGTTTATTCCACAGAGCCTCGTGCTGAGGTCTATTGGGTCTGCTAAATCTGCGAGCCAGCGAGCCATGCGAGCCATGGTGTGAGCCATGCGAGTCATGCGAGCCATTTATGCGAGTATTTTTTTTTTGTCAACTGGTCTGGGAGGTCGTCGACTTTTCGCCAAGAAACATAGATCTCGCGCCCGACTATCACTAAACTATCGCAAAAAACCGCTCGCCCGCCATCTTGAAAGCGGAGATGACCCTGGGGACGAGTAT